GACTCACAGAAGAAACTGGTTCCTTCCTGGGGTGTAAGTGAGGTAAGACAGATCTGAATTTCATTCTAACTTAGGCTTTTGTTTTGGTGGGACTACTTTTGCACACAAAATTAGTTCACACACAGAAACTGCACTGGTTTCTGGTTGTAATTGATTACAACCAGAGAGGCTAATTGCAGACCCAATTAACTGGCTCAAGTCCTTAGAATAAGGTACAAAAGCCTTTTGCTTCCACAACTAATTGTGGACCTGACCTTATATCTTGTGGGAAATTTTGTTTTGCAGTCTCTATTTTATTCAGAACTATAAATAGAAATAAGACTCCCATGCTTTTAATGTTGACAAGCATAAAGGTATTATAAACCCAATTTCACAAATTTCTTCCCGCCTATACCCTACCTTCTGACTCTGCAGCCCAAAGCAGTCAGCCCTGCAGAAAAGCCTAATAGAAAACAAGCCTCCAAAGAGGTCAATTTATGAAAGTAACAGATGGTAATATAAATTGGTTAATAAAATATAATTTTAAATGAAGGTGTCTTAAATTCCAAAAAGAGATTGCTGAATATAAATTAAGTAGTAGTAGAGAAGATCCCCCTGGAGATGGAAATGGCAACCCACTCCAGTGTTCTTGCCTGGGAAACCCATGGACAGAGGGACCTGGTGGGTTACAGTCCATGGGGTGGCAAAGAGTCTGACACAACTTAGGGACTAAACAACAACAAAAATAACCTGGACAGAAACTATAACTAGAAGACATTATTTTAAATCTGATAGTAAAATTAGTTTTCTTTTAGATTACTTATGCTCAGTTTAAATACATACTAAATTTGAACATTTTCTTTATTGCAGTAATTTTTGCTTGTTAACAACATAATAACCCATTTTAGGTGAGCAAGAAAAGTTGCTAATCATGTATTTTCTAAGAGACAAGAATAAGCTCAGATATTCTTCTCAACTGAATATTTAAAAAGCCCAATTTCAAATTTTCACAAGAGAATAATACTTGGGCTTTGTACCATATTGTATCTGTTTCTAAAATTTATGCTTTAGGTTATGAAATGACTGTGAACATTAAATTGGGTTTAAATAGCTTAAACTGTCATCTGGTACCTATTCCACAGGCATAGTTCTCAAATCATTCCTTTTTTTTTTTTAATGACTCCTTTCCTTCCTTATTAGTTGCTCAGTAGTGTCTCACTCTGCGACCCCATGGACAGTAGCCTTCCAGGCCTCTCTGTTCATGGAGTTCTCCAGGCAAGAATACTGGAGTGGGTTGCCATTCCCTTTTCCAGGGGATCTTCCTGACCCAGGGGTTGAACCTGGGTTTCCTGCATTGCAGGCAGATTCTTTACTATCTGAGCTACCAATGATGATAGCATACCTTTTTATTATGTACACTTCCCCTGGGAATACTTGAAGAAGATTTCAGCTGGCCACAATATGCCTACTTTGTCACCTGCACTGGAGACTTATCTACATAATTTCTGGTAATAGAAGTATATGAAAGTGAAGCACTTTTTTGTCTAAATACATGCCCCCTCAATCTATTCAATATAGTAATTTAATTCCCATAATTGAAAGGGATTCACTAATCAAAATCAGTTGGTAGGTATGTAGGATTCAGGTACATATTTAATCCATGTTGCAGCCTTGTCCTCTGTTACTATTTCCGTAAGAGACTTCTAATCAGATCTGGTGTGGAATTAGCCCCAGAAATAATTATACCATGTGCTAACCAATTGGGCTTGCACTAACTTATTTAAACCCCCAAAATGAAAGCTTAGTAGCTGATAACTGCATAATATATTACAGTTGTAAGCATTTGGTTATTTTTGTATGCAGTGTTGCACACACAGGAGTAATTGCATCCTCCAGACCCCAATCGCACAAAGGATGGCCTTTCAGTAGTTTTAACCACAAAATATTTACCATGTATTTAAAAACCTATGACTTGATGAGCATGAAGACAATTATACATTGCAGAGCCATCACCTCTTTGAAAGGAGGAGTTGTGAGACATGACTTGCTGTTATATATTTTTGGAAGTACTCCCAGATTTAACAGAAAGTTTTAGCTATTTTTAACCAACAGGAGAGGTAGGATGTTGTTGATTAATTGTCCAAAGAAATAGACTGGCTTTGTAATTTTATAAGATGATGAAAAGAAAGTAATCCTTTCCAGGTTATATAGGCTCATCTCTTAATTGGATATTGCACATTTTTATCATTTTTATTAATGAAATATAATTATAACAAAATAATCTACTATGGTTCATAGCAGGAATAGAATACTAGGGTCTATTTTAAGTAAAATCTATCAGTCAAGCTAAGTAAGAACTGCAACAAAGAATCCTAATTCCTCTAGAAAAATCAGAGGTCTAAATAAAACCTACAGACTAATTCTGCTTCCAGTTTCTTTGGCCAAGTTACTTCCTCCACTTTTAATTTAACCTCCGTGCTTCTTTATTACAGTGCATCACTTGCTGCTACACTTACGCTCAGTGGCATTTTAAAATATGTTCGCATTAAATGAGATGCGCCGAGTATGGGGCTCTGATACCGTGAACAGGTATATGAGGCTGCTGCCAACCAATTAAACTCCCAGTGATGACCTTGCTCTGTCACTTCTCTTCCTCCTTTAAAATATAAATAGGGAATGTATTGAGGTGGGATTTCTCCATGTGATCTTTTATTTCATTGCTTATTGATTTAATGGCAAAAAGGAATGTATATAGCTCAGCCTCATTTTTTTCCATCTGTGCATTGTTTCAGCAAACTATCCTCGAGGCTAACAGAATTCCTGGTCTCTAAGATACTCCAGTCCATAAAATTATGGATCCTGTTACTGCAAGGCTCATGAAAATGTTTTTCTGTTGCTCTGTATTGTCACAAAAGCCTGAAAGACAGAGAAACTAACTTTTATGCACAACTGCTATATCCCAAATGCTCATGAGACATTTCCTTCCTAACCCCACTCCCTTTTCACCAGAAGGTAAGAACTGTGCTCACTTTCATTTGTGATCAGGTTTGGGACCAGAGCCCAGAGGAGTATATTTCGAATCACATTTTTACTGTGCCTCTGAGCACATTGACCCTTTTCTACTTTCCCACTTCAAGCTGACAACTCAAAGACACGATACATTTCTTCTGCTTTCACCTCAGGGCTGGGAAATCAGGACTTTCAGTCAAATCTTTGCAGCCTTCAAAGTGTATTTTGGCAAGAAGGATGGAACCTCAGTTTAGTTATGATTCTGCCACACTAGATTTTTGAAACAGATGTACTGCCAAGATCTTCCAGACAGCAGTTCCCAGAAAATCCAGATCTTTGGGGATCAGAATAAAATATACTTGAAACTTTCAGATTTCTTTATAGCCCCAATTAAAATGAAAACATATTTCTATTCATCCATGTTATATTCATCCAAGTAATCCAAATCAACATGCATTCACTGGTTAGATCAGGGTTGGCCCCATGACCTTGTGATATTAAATGACCCACTTGAACTTAAACTATCTATCAGATGTTGTACCCTAAAATACAGAATCAGCATTCAATTGGGTGTCAAGTGACATCAGCTCCTGGGCTTTTGATGAAATGATTAATATTAGGATATGGTTCAAAAAAATCTTACTTATACTAAGATAAAATGTATTTTTAATCTCCTTATCATAAAAAATAATAAAATTTTTGTTCATTGGGCCTCAGATTTACACTTGTAATGACCATTGAAGACCCTAAAGAGTGTTGGTTTATGTGGGTTATATCTGTGCATATTTATATTAAATATAAATATATTTATAAATCTGTG